TTAAAAAAACAAAGTTGGAATTCACATCTCCCAATTTCAAAATTTATTACAAAGCTAATCAAAACTGTGTGCCACTAGAGTACGTATAGAAATCTAGGTCAATGGAACAGAACTGAGAATCCAGAAATAAACCCTCACATTGATGAGCAATTGACTGGACAAAAGGGCCAAGACAATTCAATGAGGAAAGAATGATCTTTTCAATAAATGATGCTGGGATAACTGGGTATCCACATGCAAAATAATGAAATGGGACCCCACTTCAACCACATACAAAAATTAACTCAAAATAGTCCAGAGATCTAAATGTAATAGCTAAAACCTCTAAAACATTTAGAAGAAAACAGAAGTAAATCTTTGTAATTTGGATTAGGCTATAGCTTTTAGGTACAAAATCACACACTACAAAAAAAATCCCAGATTAATTTGATTACATCACAAGTTAAAACTTCCGTGCTTCAAAGGATATATGGTACATATGATTCATGATACATGCAACATCATGGATGCACCTCAGAAACACTGTGGTGAGTGAAAGAAGCCAGACACCGAAGGCCACATACTGTATAATTCCATTTATATAAAATGTCCAAAATAGGAACTTCATATAGACAGTAGATTAGTGATTAGCTATTAGCCAGGGCCTGAGTAACTGCTAATTGCCATGGGGTTTCTTTTGGTGGTGATGAAATTGTTCTGGAATGAGAGAGTGGTGGTTGATGCACCACTTTGTGAATATGCTAAAACCTCCTGAATTATATACTTTAAAAGGATGGGCTCTATGGTATGTGATATATCTCATTAAAGCTTTCATTAAAAAAAAAAGGAAGGAAGGTTGGGCACTTCGTTGCAGGAATAGTGAACTGGAGAGGGACCTGGAAATGGAGCTCAGTCTAATAGGTCTGAAGGCCCAGTAAGGGTGTGATGATGATGATGGTGATGATGATGACAGCTATCATTTCCTGATGAGGGACTATAGGCCAAATCTTGGATGAATACTTTTCATTTATACATCATGTATTTAGGTACATGTTATCTCCTTTACTCTGGAATATAGATTATTCCCATTTACAGATTAGGAAACTGAAGCTCAGAGAGGTTAAGTGACATGATAATGCAGCTGGTAAGGGCAGTGTCACAGGCTGGATCCCACGCTCGTTAGTATATGTTACTAGGGATGAGACAGGAGGCAATGGTTTGAGAGACAAAAATTTCAGCGGCAGCATCAGTGGGCAGGTGTTGGAGTGGGGTGGGGCGGTGGGGAAGGGCATGAGAGGAGAGCCCACAAGGACTGAAGGCTGGGTCTGCTGACGAGTGTGCAGCAGTGACGTCTAGAACCTAGACAGGGAATATAAAAGGAGGCAAAGGTTTTTAGAAATATAAGTGCTTTGCATTTCTGCCTCCCTTATTACATTACAAGCACCTGAGAATAGGGGCATTCAATTTGGAAGCCCCTCAGGCTCTGTCAAGAGGAGGAATTGGTAAATGTTGATTTGCTGAGTGATTAGAAGCAAGTCCCTTGGTCTCTCTGTGCCAAGTTTTCCGGATTAGGAGGAGTTGCCCAAGATGAATGCTAAATTTTTGTCTAACTCTGAGCTTTGGGGAGGCTGTGATTTTACTAACTCTAGCTTCTACCGCTGGGTAGGAGCTAGATAAGAGTCAAAATGTGAAAAGGAAGCTTAGGACACTGTGTGGCCTTTGCCTCCGAACGAGCCTCAGTGCCCTCTCGTGGCCACATCTGGAAACAACAAGCAGAAACATGAACTGACGACCTTCGGGCTGAGCCGGCAGCCCCACTCCCATGGTCCAAAGGCAGAGGGTCTGGAAAAGGAGGTTCCTGTTGCCTCTCCCAAGGTAACAATTTCCAACCCAAAGCAATGTTCACAGCATTTACCTAGAGTTCCTTACACACAGCTTGGAGCAGGGCTGACCTCTGCTCTGCACATACAGGCTTCCTTTGGTATCTGTGTGGATACCAAAACTCTCGAATGAACTCTTTGGTTCAGGCCCCTTATATAGATGGCACCATACAGTTGGCCTGAACCAGCGAGTACAGAGGGCTGACTGCATTTGGGTGACATGACCCCTCCAAGATTTAGGGCCTGGTTATTGTCACTGTTCTTAGGCAGAGATGGTGGAGTTTCTGGTGCACAGTAGGTATTCAGTCTTCACAAAATTAATGCTGAGAACATTGGCCTGTATTTGTGGAGTGGCCTAGGTTAGGCCCAGGGCTTAGCTGGGAGCCAGATGCTAAGGGTCATGTCTATCCTTAGGTGGGGTGTGGCTGAGACTCATCAGAAAACAGGCCTTTCCTCTGACCTGGGGTCTGCAGCCTGAGGCCTGCCTGGAGCTAGAGAATCCAGCCTCTGTTGGCACCTCCAGGGAAACTGCTATCTCTGCCCTGCCCTCCTGCCCACCTAAAATCTCAAGAAGCCAGTTCCCTGCCTGTCCAAGTGAAGCCCCACCACAGACCTCTCTGCGGACCTCTCTGCCGCCACCTCTTGGTGGTTCAAATCAGCCGTCTCCCCATCTGCACTTGCTGATCAGCCCCTCCAACTCCTTCCTGATGTGAAGGAAAAGCCAGGCTAGGCCTAACTCGTAAATCTAAGTGTAACAAGTGTCGGATTACTGACCTGAGTTCTGCTGGGCTAACTCGTAAATCTAAGTTAATAAATGTCAGTTTGCTGATTCCCTCCTCTTGTTTTTTCTGCTAGCCAGCTGGATTTTCAGACACATATCTGGCCTTGAAATGTCAGTTTGCTGCCTCTCTGCCTCTACTTTTGTGATAATGATGCTGCTAAGGCTGCTCCATGCCTATTGGCCGAATACCCCAAGCTTGTAATTAACCCTGTAAAACCTCATGCACGTGTTTTGGAGGTGCTCAGAGCTCCGGAGCGGAACCCCCTCTGTGCCCACTGGCATAATAAAGCTGAGTACTCCAGCCCTCCGAGTGGTGCTTGTTTCTTGGCTAGCCTGTCGTTTCAGTAACACTGGCAAATTTCATCACCCTGAGTCCTAGCTCAGGCACCGGGGCCTCAGCTCAATGAGGCAGCCCCCGTTGGGTCAGGGGCCTCCCTGTCACAGCTCTGACCACCCTGCATGTCTCGGCTGTTTCCAATGTTTGTTCCTGCTCCCAAGCAGCCTGTGCACTGCTTCTGGTGCAGAGTGTTCCCTGAGGTGGATGAATGGCGAGGACAGGCCTTAGGCAGTGGGAAAGCGGGAAGGAGCTCCTTTAGTCTCAGCTGGAAAGGGTCCCCAGGGACTTGGTACTTACTGAATTGGAGTTAGAACAGAGAGAAGTGGCCTCTTGTGAGGTCCGGGTGTGGCATGAAATCACTAGAGTGACAGCAGGCCAGGTCTCCTCCTTCGTGGTGTAACTAAGGCCAGGTGCAAGGGAACACGGTCTGAGTGATCTACATGGATCTTCCCAGCCCAGCCATTCCAGGACCTGACAGCTGGGCATGAGCCTTCACCACCTTCACCAGCCCAGCCTCCTGGTATTCAGCTCGTGTGTGACCCTCGTGAGTGTCAGCTGGACCTAGGGACTTGCATCAAGGAAAAGAAACAGCGAAAGTGACAGATTGTCACTTCCAAGTTCAGGCTACAGAGGACTGTGACTTCTGTCTGCACTCTCTCTCTCTGGCTCTTCTTACTCTCTCTGACACAGACAGCTGCCATGCTGTGAGCTCCTCTAGGAAAGGGCCGGGTGGCAGGGAACTGGGAGTGGCTGCAGGTCAACAGCCAGGGAGGAAGCGAACCCTGACAACAGCCCGAAGAATGGCTGTGGAAGCGGATCCTCCCCCGTCCAGCCTTGAGATGATGGCAGCCCCACCGACACCTTGAGTGCAGCCTTGTGAGAGACCCTGGAGCAGAGGGTCCAGCTAAGCTGGACCTCTCCTTCTGACCCTCAGAAACTGTAGACATAGTGTCGTTTGCAGCCACCAAGTTTTGGAGTAATTTATTCCACAGCATTAGATAGCTAATACACCACACAGAGCCACGTGGGCCAAAGAGGCAAGGGAGCCAGGGCTCAGCAGGTGGCCCAGCAGGGGCGGTGGTCTCCTCGAGGGTCAGTGGCGAGATGCAGCAATAACTCGTAGAGGACTTGTTTTCATGTTCTCATTTAGGAATATACAAAATGTCTGATATGGTGTCATGATCTCATCAGGAGAAAAGGGAACACACCGAGGACTAGGTTTCCTCCCTGGTCCCCACCCTCTCAGACAGGCACAAATCTGTGAGGCTTGGGTTTGAGGGACCTCTGTTCTGGAACCTATCGGCTGCTCAGAAGGCCAGGTCCCTCTGTCAACAGGAAATGGGACCCCTTCCTCACATCCACAGTTGGGAGTGTGGGTTAAGCAAACCGAGGCTGCTGGGAGGTATGTTATTCAGGCCAAGGTGGGGTCTGTACTGGGTCTATGTCATCGGCCCCCCTGAGGAAAGCCAGCCAGAACTCCAACCAGAAACTCCAACCAGAAAGCGATGGGCTGGATCGTGCAAGAGATGGTTCACCTGGATAGTCCTACATCCCAGCACGGATCACTGGCACTCCATCACCTCTCTGGAGGCCAGTCCAGGCTCAGATTGGAAAGCCCCAGGGGTGGGGGGTGGCAGAAAGGAGAACCAGGCTTGAGAACTCCCGATGCTCACCCCTGCGCTCTTCACAATGGGGACCCTTGTGCCTTCAGAGTCTTCCCCTTGGCCAGAGGGACAGGTCCTGCAGTCAAGTGTCAGGCAGCTGGGAACAGAGCTGTCTGTATTAGAAGTAGCTTCTACCCCGCGAAGGGCAAATAATCTAACTGGCCTGAGTCATTAATGGCTGTCCTTCCCCAAGTAACAAGGGCTGTGTTTTCTCTGTAATTCTGGGAAGAGATGAAGAGGGGTTGGTTGGGAAACCACAAAGGGCCAGATGTGTCAGCCACCACCTAGAACAGGACAAACTGGAAGTGAAAGAGCTTGAAACATTCACTGCTTTCCTTCTTAAAAAAGACCTAACATGGTAACGGTTTAACAAAATCATTATAATTTCTTTTAAATGACCCACAGACACCCATGATGCTTCCAAATTTACAGAACAAAAAAAGACTCAAGAACTTTAGAAAACGGTTTGCAGCTGGTTCCTCCCAGAAGCTGGCCCCTGCAGATGGGCTCAGTTCACTTCCAGGACCTCGGTCTCCTGGAGGCCGAATCTGGTCTTGTGCTGGTCGAAGAGCTTCACCAGGGCCTCCATGTACATGGCGTGGTACAGGTTGATGTCCTGCTGGGTCGGGTGCTCCAGCTTGGGGATGGTGATGGGCTCACCCACTGCAGGGATGGGGCAGAGGTCTCTGGTTAGTCCATGCCATTTGGCCCACGCTCCCTGGGCATCCACCAGGATGCTGATGGCGTCAACTCTGTACCCTGTGCCAACCACGCGCCAGGAACTGCATGGAATGTGCTCTATCGCAGGTTGTCCCTTTTACATATGAGAGGACTGAGGCCCAGTGGCATGGGAAGGGACCTGCCTAAGGCCACAGAGCCACTCAGCAGCAGGTGGGACCGCGATTGGCTGTGCCTACTGTGCTCAGCTGGGATCTCCTGTGGGAGGTGTGGGGTCACATAACAGCTTTGCTATGGCCCTGCTCTGGGCAAGTCACTTCACCTCTCTGAGCCTCAGTTTCCTCACCTATCACGTGGGGATCCTTCCTCATAGGGCTTTGCTGAGGATGCTTTTAGAAGTGTGGTAAGGGCAGGAGGAGGAGGAGACCAACATTCATAAACCCAAGCATAATTTAACTTTTTCATCCTGCCTCCTCTCCAAACCCAACTCATCCCGAAGACCTGTCGGCGCTATTCCTGAAATTTCTCCCAAGTTCATACAGTTCTTTCCCATCTCCACTGCCATTCCCTCGGTCCTAACCATCGGCTACCACAAAAGACTCTGGACTGGTCTTGTGGCTTCCATTTTTGCTCCTTCTAATCCATTTTCTATTCAGCAGCCCCAAGGATCACTTTAAAATGCCAGTCTGAATCTCCTCTCCCCAGAATCCTCAAGTAGTTTTCCATTCTTAAGGTGAAGAGCAAATCCCTTCGCACTGTCCGCCAGACCCTGTCCCTCTCCAGCCTCCCGTGCATGGAGATGTCCCTGCGGCCTCGCAGACCTCAGACCAGGTTTGGGATTTGTGTATAACCAGAGTTGAGGGTAAGTCTGGGTTACATAACCCAAAATGCAGGAACTTGGTCTCTCTGTAAAGGTACAAAGCAAAACATCTGGCCCTGATAACTCCTAGTATCTGTGTGAGCTTTGACCTCTAAGGTCCATGGCTTGTGGCCCTGTACTTCTGTGTGATCTCTAGCTTGTGAACCATTAACAGACAGACAGACAGACAGACAGACAGAGACACACACACACACAACACACACACGCCCCCCTCTACAATAGATAATTGTTTGGACTCCTCTAAACTGTCCCAAATAAACCCAAAACAACACAGCTGAGGGCCCACTTCAGCCAGTTATTTTGGTTTTTCTTTCTTGGATTTTATGAGGGTTTTTTTGCTACAGATCTTACAGGCCTCTGCTCCAGGAATATTGATTTTTTTTTTCTTTCTATTCCTCAAAAATAGATACAGTCTTGCTGCAGGAACTTCACTGAGGCTACTGTTTCTGACAAAAACCCTCTTCCTCCTCTCTTTTGCTGGATATTCCTATTCGGATAATAGTGTAAGAGTCATCTCCTCCCTGGGGTCCGCTGGGACCCCCCAGAGCACCCTGCACCTCCTCCCCACACCCTGTTGCTCTCCACCATAACAGGGTCTTCCCTGACAGACTCTGAGCCCTGCAGACATAGAACGGCTGAAGGCTGTCTTCTTATCCAGCGCAGCTTAGCTTGTGGTAATGAAACTATCCCCCATCCTCTACCCCTATCGCTCATTCCCATCAGCACCCAAACAGGTCCGCATCCTCACAGTTTAGAGGATGGACATTGGAGCCAAGGGCCCAGATCTGAATCCTAATTCTGCCTCTAAACTAGCTGTGGCACCCCGAGTTCAGGGTCTGCAGGCAGGGGTCTCACCAACAGTGGTGATGGGCTTGGAGTAGGGCACCAGCCCCCAGGTGTCAGAGGAGAAGAGGCCTCGGCCATGGAAGATGCATGGGGCGAAGCCAATGTACTTCTGGAACTTCTTCTGGACCCATCGGCCCCAGGAGCCCTCCTCAAAGATCACCTGCTTGTACACCTCATTCTCCCCGAAGGAGTAGGTGGGAACCAGGTCGGCTCTGGAAAGGAGACGCCAGAGTCCGTCACACCCCAATCACTGGCTTTAGCTCCTCCTGGCAGCCCTAGAGGCCCCAGACACCAGCTAAGCTCCCCTCCCTCAAGTGTGCACCAGAATCCCCCAGGGACCCCAAAGCACATACCCTCTCACTGCCAGATGGGGACAGGCCCTCTGCCCCATTAGTGACTGGCAAGCACGCCAGGGCTTTACAGTGTGGCCGTGACCAGGTCACTTAGCCTCACTCAGTTTTCTCAAATAGAAAATGAGGTGGCATCACTGCAGGATTTTGCAGGAGAACCAAACAGGCTGGTGGACACAAATGTGCTTTGCCCAGTGAAACGTGTTAAACAGGTGGCTACACAGAACGTGCCTCTGAATTTCCAGAAAAGGTCACAGAAATCCAAGCTGCCCAGCTCCTCTCTGCCTGTCCTCAGGGTCACCCCTCTAACAAGCCTTCCCTGACGCTTCCACCCGCACCATCCTCCTTCCTGGCCTCTTACTCTCCTAGCAGCTTGTCACACTTTGGCCCCAGGACAGAGTCCTGCATCTGGGCCTGACCTCTCAGCCCACCTGTGAGGACCCAGGAGACACAGGCTGCATCTCTGCCCACCCAGCCACCCAGCATGCATTTGGGCAAACTTGGCCTGAACCTCTGGGCTCAAACCTCCCCTCCCAGACAGGATGGTGAACTCCCTTCTATGCTTTCCTGGGGTTTGGGTCCTGCCCCCAGGAGACAAGGAGCTGCCGCTCCAGATGGAGCAGAGCTGTGGAGGGGTGTGTACGTGTGTATGCGTGTGTGCAGGGAAGCACTCACCCGTGGCGCAGGGCCAGTTTCACAAAGCCCTTGCGGTTGCGCAGGGTGACAGCATTCTTGCCGGGCATGGAGCTCAGGGACTCAGCTGCACCCCCTACCACAATGATGATGGCATTGCCACTCCCGTTCTTTGAAAGCAAGTAATCTATGGTGTCCCGGTTCACGGGGCAGATGCCTGGGGAGTGAAGGGGGGACACACAGTCAGGGCTGCCCATGGATGTACTCCCCATCCCCTGCACACAGTATAGACAGAAGGAGCCCTGGACTTGGGCCCCAGACCTAACCAGCCATCTAGAAGTATGGCCCTGCATAAGCTATGCCTTTCTCTGAGCCTCAACTAATTATCTGTAAAACGGGGATAGTGACACAAGCTTGTTTCGGGAACCCATCCATTTGGCAAACATTCCCTGAGGTCCTAATTCTGGCTGGCTGGTACCAGGTGCTGGGGAATGCCAGTGAGTCAGGCTGATGGGGATCAAGGTGGGCGGATAACTAGTCATGGACAATGATCAGGTTGTGCAGAGCACAGCACAAGGGCTGGGGATGCCCAGAAAAGGGGTCAGAGAAGGTTTTCTAGGGAAAATGTTATCCCGGATAAAAACCTAAATAAAGATCATACAAACATCTCTCCCACTCAGCCCTGACCCACCATGCCTGTGGCAGCCTGCATCTCTCCACACGGGACCAGCCACCGGGGCCCTGTGGATTGGCTTCCTGGCCAACAGAGAGGCTTGGGCAGGGGCAGGTAGAGGCGGATTCTCACCTCCAGACATCAGGTACTCCCTCAGCACTGGAATCCGGAAGTTGCCGGCCAGCGTGGCCAGGTAGGGCCTGATGCCAGGGAACTTCTTGCTCACTTCTGTGGCCTCCGTGCTGAAGTTGCAGAAGGCACCCAGGCCCATGATGCCGTGGGGGTGGTAGCCAAAGATGTAGTTCCTGGTGGTCAGCAGGTTGTGTGTCTTCACCAGCTGCAGGGAAGACCTTGGGTCAGAGGAACTGGCCAGGAGAGGGGTACTGGGGTACCAGAGGTAGGGGAGGGACTAGGTGTGACATGCCCCCTGAGACCCTGGGCCTGAAGGACTGGAGTGACTCTCCCACGCTGACCTCAGACTCTCATCACTGGTGCCACAGTGCCGGGTACTTCGCAGTCACCATTTGGACTGTGAATTCCTGGGAAGCGGGTGGGAAACTTTCACCCTCATTCCCCTTGTTTCTCCAACCAAACACACCAGGTCCTCCTAACTGCACTCTGCCAGCCTACTGCATTCCCCATCTCTTGGCCCAGCTTCCCACAGCCAGAGCGACTGCTCTAAAACCCCAATGCAACCCCTCACTCTCAGATAAAGAGGGATGTCCTGTTTCCATCGGGGTAAAGTCCAAATCCCTTACTTTGGCCAGAGAAGGGACAGCGCAGCTGGCCTGAATGGAAACTTCCTTCCAGGCAGCCAGACTCAGCTCAGCCTCAAATGCAGGAAGGACAAGGACAAGCCACACAGCCCTTGTGCCGGCCGTGGTAGGGGCAGAGAGGTCAGCTATAAAGCTGGGGCAGCTGGCCTGCGGTGCTACCAACAAAGCTGTCCGAGGATGCTCTAAAGGATGATTAGCTTTTTCAGGGCACACCCCCTGCCCTGGAACTGGTGGCATGAAGGGTGGGGTAGATGGTGCCAAGTTTCCCTTATCCCTGAGCAACAAGAGGCACCCACCCAGCATTATAGGGAACACGATGCAGGTGGAGGGTGAGGAGAGGGATGGAGAGCTATGGGCATCGTGTTCAGAAAACATCACTTTTTCTGTTAAGAAAAATAGTGAATAACCAGAGAATTAAAATAATACAGAAAAGTAGGAAGAAAATCAAAAGCATGAAAGTCCTACCTCCATCCAGGTAAACCACTGACATGAGTTTTTTTCTGACTCTCATGTTCTTTTTTAAAAACCACAAAACTGAGGTCATATGGTTGATATCATTTTTATATAATTACCTACTAAGCATATCATAGCTATTTTCCTTTATCAGAATCCCTCAGTAGCGTGCCATCTCATGGCTTTGCAACATGTAACAGAATTGTCATCAAACTCTGACTGATGGGCCTTTAAAAAGCTTCCAAAATTTCCTTTGGAAATAATGCCTCCATAAATACCTGATTTGTATCCTCGCATCTGACTGTTTTCTTGAGACAAACTGCTAGAATACAGTGCCTGGGTCTATGGCCGTTGTGGTCTGCTGGGCTGCACTGCCCCTGGAGAGGTGGCACTGATGCATTCCCACCTGCTGTGCTTCAAAGTACCCATGTCCCCACACCGATGCCGGCTGGGAGCCAAGCCCCTGGCCACCAGCAGAGTATCAGGAGCCTGGGTTTTCTATGCCTCCAGCTTTGGGAACGTCCTGGCTGAGGGCAGGAGCTCATGCTCAGTTTCGGGGGAGGTGGTGTGAGAGGTCAGGAAACTGACACCTGAGTCTTCGGGTGACAGAGGACAGAAGTGGGTGGAAGCGTGGGTGGTTGGCACCACCCCTGGCTCTGTCACGGCCAGTGTGTCTGAGTGTGAGCAAGACCCCCTGAGTGTCACCCTGTTGCTTGGGACATTTGTACTCTTTCTCCCTTTGGCGAGCAGATTAAAGCAGCTCAAAATCCCAACCAATCCTTAGCTGCCCGCCACATAAATGCTAACAGTGGCAGCTGAATCCAGGGCTGGTGGGGGGTGGGCACAAGGGGGTCTAAAGGGAGCCCAGCTTTGCATGAGCTTTGCAAGGTGGTTGTTCTGGGGTTTTGCCTCAGAGAGCAGATCTGAGCTCAGTAAAGCCAGAATGGTGCGGGAGCGGGGGAGGTATAGCTTAATGGTAGAGTGTGTGCTTAGCACACACACAGTCCTGGGTTCAATCCCCTGACCTCCATTAAAAAATAAATAAATAAACAAACCTACTTAAACCTCCCCCCCAGCAAATAAACAAATGAATTATTGTTTTTAAAAAAGCCAGAACGAAAAAGCACCTTGAGCCAGTTTCCATGGAGGAGGAGGAAGTTGAGGGAAGAGCAGAGGCAGCTGGTACCACATTGGAAGGTTGTTCCTGAGGTGACAGCTGGGGCTGAGAGCCCTGAACACAGGATGGGCTGGAAGAGCCTGATCTGGGCCATTCCTTTGATTACAAGGTGAAGACTGAGGCCATGAGAAAGGAGCTGCTGCTTCCCTGGAGATCACAGCAAGTCACCCGCCACCTCGAGACTAGGTCCCCCAGCTGTGCTTTTCCCTGGGCCTGGGATGTAGACATGCCACCTGGTGGGACCCTGGCTGGCTCTTTAAATCATTTCCCTCCTCCCCCAAGCCTCTATCCCGTATGACTTTTAGTTAAATGACGGGCCGTGGGGCACAGTGCAGGTTGAAGGCCCCAGGTGCAGTACACCCAGAAAAGTGCAGGCATCTGAAACCTCCCCCGAAACTGAGCATGAGCTTTGATGAGTCTTCTTGTCACACTCCCCTCTCCCCGGGGGGACAGAGTGTCCATTTCTGGAGGGAGGAGGAAGGACATGCTGATGAAGGCTCTGTTCACACACCCGCTCTCCAGTCCCCTGACTGTTCCCCATGGCAAAGTCTCAGCCCAAGAGGCTGCCTGGGCCTGGCCTGCTGGCTGACATGAGCCTAGGACACATTCCTAGCAAGTCATTCCTCACTCCCTGCCTCCCAGGGTAGGCAAGGTGCTCAAAGAGCCTGGCACCATACAGAGGAGGAAACTCAGAGCCAGAGAAGAGATTTGACTAAGCTTACACAGTGGGGCACACTGGTGGCAGAGGAACGGAGTGAGAACACGGGCCCTGAAGCAGACAGTCTTGGTTTCTGTACCAGCCCTGCCACTGACTTGCTTTGCAGCCTTGGGACAGTCCCTCCTCTCTGCCTCAGCTGGTCTATCTGTGAAATGAGGCAGAGGGACAGATAGATGATTCTAAGCTCAGAGAGGCTTTCCGAGTCTCTCCCATGACACTGCCTGTCCCTCAGGGAGAGGTGACCCGGGCACTGCCCACTCCTCTTCCAGGCAGCCAGTGGTCCTGGTTGCTGCTGCGAACACAGGAGCCCCAGCTCTGCTGGGAGGGGGGATGCTCTCTGGGCCAGCTGAACTGCTCTGGTGGCAAAGAGCCTCACTAGGAGGAAGGTAGGGAAGTATGGGTGGGTGGGTCCAGCTAGAGACCTTCCGCAACCATTGGTAAGAGGCTGGGAAAGGGGGGAGGGGCAGGAGGGTCACACAGGGCTCCACAGAACATCAGCCCTGATGTCAGGTCACAAGGCCAAACCCTCCCTGCACAGAGGAGAAGCCTGAGGCCCCGAGGGGCAGGGGCTTGGCCAAGGCCGCAAGCAGGCAAGAGCAGAGCCCAGGTTGAGGCATAATGCCTGGCCTGCCTCAGGCCCGGCTTGGTTTTGGGCCTGGTGCCCGGGAGCCAGCTCACATGTGTCCTGCGGCTCCAACTCCCAGCTGAATTCTTGGAACAGAGGTGAGATAAGAGGCACAGGGTTTTGTTTTGGTTCTCTGGGAAGGACAGAGATCAGTGGAGAAGGGCACCCGCCTGTCCTGGCTCCGACCGCTGGTCGTCAGGTCATCCTTTTCTGGGAGGAGGAAGCTGTCAGCCTCGAGAGGCTTCCTGAGGGGCAGGCCGTGTAAGCGCCCCAGCAGAGAAAACAGAGTCCATCAGCCCTCACACGCAACCATCATTTCCCACTTTTTATCATATGAAGAGCTCCACTTTACACGTGAGGTGGTAATGAGGCTCAGTGAGCTTGAGAAAGTGTGTGCCCACAGTACTGGGGGAAAAAAGACAAGTCTAGCAGGATCCATTAGACACTGAGCCCACCCAAGGGTGGGGACCCAGGCAGACTCTTCTGGGACCTCACGCCCAGCAGAGAGTCCAGCACTACACAGGGAGCAACAGTGAATAGAGTGACAGAGCAGGATCTGAACCCAGGTCTCCACCAGTAAAGCAGAGAGGGGGAGACAGGCGAAGTCTGGGGTTGGAAATCCAGGATTGAATCTCTCGCAGAGAAACAGACAGTAGGCATTCAGTGGGAAAGAATCTGGGGCCTGGATTCTAGTCCTAGCACTGGCATGGAGTCACTACGCAACCCAGACCAGTCCTTGCCCCACTTTGGGATGCCGTTTCCACACCTCCAAGATGAGAGGGTTGGATCCTATGATGCAATGTCCTCCTACAAACAACAGCCTTGGATTCCTTGCAGCCAAAGAGACGGGGTCAGGAAAAGGGATGATCCCAAAGGTCCTGGGAAAACTGGGCTCAGGCTGGGGTGGGCAGAGGGAGCTGGCCCTGGAGCCGCCCCCACCATACCGAGTACAGCAGAGAAATGTAGGGTTACCCAGCCACCTCCTCCAGGCAGCATGCCAGGATGTCTCAGTCAGTGACTCACAACAGCAATCATACACCACCCTGCATCATGCACACTTTCAAACTCACACACACTGCCTCTGCTCTTCAGACCCAATGATTTCTGCTGGGTTACCTTAGCAGCTAGGGTGTGCCGGGGCTGGGTTGCTGAGTGAGCTGGCCAGACAGGTCTTTCCCCTGCAGGAAAAACCTTCAGGATTCTGCCAGAATTATCCACAATCCACCAGCGTAGCCCACAGGCACCAGGGCCCAGATGCCTCTGCCTTGCCAATCTAACTTGCAGACCACGGGCAGGGGGCCCAGCAGAGATGAGATAGAAAGCTAGTCCAGGCCACCCTTCATCTTGTCAGGCCCTTGAGGTTGGCCCCAGAAAAGATGGGTGCTCAGAAGACCAGTGTGGGGGTCCCAGAGTGGCCAATGATGCAGGAGGAAGGAAACCCAGGGATCAACTTGGTCTAAACTGACCCAGCCTCACCCAGAGTCAGACTGGGCTCTTCCTGCCTCTGTCCTCCAAGCCTGATGGAAGCCTGAGAATCGGTCCAAGCTTATTTCCCACAGCTCTGCCACACGGGGAATCAGCGTGCTGTGCTGAGAGGAGCCCAGGCTTTGAGGCCAGACAGCAACTGGCATCTTGGCTCAATCCCCTATTAGCCTCATTCAGCTATGTTACTCTCTGACCTTCAGTTTCCTCTTCTATAAAAACGGGATAAATGAATACCCATCTTACAGGATGCTGGGAGGGTTAAAGGAGACTCCTTGGGGAAAGGTGCCGACTCCCAGAAGTCTCCCAATAAATGGAGATCCTCCCTCTCTCCTCCACCTCCTAACCATTTTCCACCCTCCAGGTTTCTCAAACTCAGCTGCCTAGGCTCTCCTTGTTTTCCCCACCCCTTTAGTGCTACTTATCTTCCGGACAGAGTTCTAGGAGCAGCGCCTCCAGAAGCCTTCCCCAAGCACTTCAGCAATTAGGGTCTCACTCTTCAGTCACTGCTCACCAAATTTTCTGGGCCCTAATCCCCAGGGCCATGACCCCAGCGACCCACCCACGACTGGCTGAGAGAAGTAGTATTTCTACAAGAGCTTCAGAAGGAAAGAAAACCCCTCACATCTATTGTTATCCTTGGTTCTGGCCAGATGAACTTGGACTACATTAGTATTGCTCTTGATAAATCACCTCCATTTTAAGTTATGCCTTTAATATTCACTGAAAGACAGACAAGCACTGATCATAATATCTGCTATTACACCTGCTCCTTACATCACTCAGGATGTGTCTGAAACATCTTGTAGTTCCAAATGCTAGAACAAGTCTTTTTTCCCTAAGAAGCTAGCAAGCTTCTTCCCTTCCCAAAATGAGAACAAATGACTATCATATTTCCCTTTTTGCCTTGGCTGCCAGGAAGTTCAGAGATGATCATGAAGCGCAATCACTGCAATTTTGTGACCCTTAAGAATAAAACACTAGTATTTACCCCCAGGTCTTGATTTTTCTTTTTACCTGGTATAGCATTATATGTAGTCTAAATTGCCTTAAATCTTGCATAAAGTGGGGTAGAGTATCAACAGATGCTCATAATGGGAGATGTCACATGGTTCAACACAGCACACGTAGTCACTGTGAATGGCTTGAATTGTCATTAAGGCTTGAATTCAGATTTCCCATCCATTCCCACCTTCCCAAGATAACACCCACAAATCTTTACCTGGATGGGAAAGTAGTCTCGAAAGTAGCGCCACACAGCCCAGTTTCGGACCCACTGTGACCTCCTGCCACCTTCCAAGGAACAAAACACAGTGTTGGGAAGGAGTAGGAGTGGGGGAGGGTGACATCTGGGCAGAGCCAGTGTGAACTCCTGAATTAGGTGACCACCACCCTATGCGGCATCCTCCCCTCTTCCTCCTGGGCCCCTTTCAACGTTCATTCCTTCATGTTATGCAAACCCTGGATTGAGTGGGAGCTCCAGCGAGGACCAGGATGTTGACTTTTGAGGCACTATAACTCCTTCATCCAAAACTACACCCTGGCTTAGCCCAGTGCTTTTCACATAGTATGTCTAATTTAAAAGAGGCAGCACCCACAATGAGGAACTTCAGCCGGTACAGGAGGGAGTGACACGAGGGTGAGGGGCTGGGGGCAAGGTAACCCATGCTCTGACCTTTCTTGGGCGTGTTCCAGTCAAACACCAACCAGGTGAAGTAGAGCACGGAGATGAGCCAGCAATCGGTGCAGAATGTGTACATGAGGAGGATGCTGCAGGTCACTCCTGGTGGGGAGGCAGATGGTCCCAGGTCAGGCCTGTCCTCCCCAGGTGGGCTTCAGTCTCCCACCCCGAACAAAGGCTCACCGAGCAACCGAGTGAGTGTTTACTGTGGCACTGAGATAGGCACAGCTGGGGACATGGGCAGAGGGAGCCTGCAGGCACAGGAGGCTCATAGGGACACAAGCCTCATCTCCTAGACTCTGACGGGCTGTCCTGGCATCGAGAGGCACGTGGGCTCCATGTCTGGACAGCAATGCCGGAGAACATGGACATCAGCTGCTTGTGAAGCTGTCCTTAGAGCTGTCCTTTCTGCCCCCTCCTTGCACATTCTCCCCACCCTAGTGCCCAGGATAGTTACTGTGGACAAGGGGAGGGACCTACCAAGGGCCTCTGCCTCTCAAGACTTGGGCTGAGTCACTGGCTCAAGTGAGAGGCAGGGTGGCGTTTATCCCATTTCAGAAATGAGAACACTGAGGCTCTAGGAGGAGGTAACTTGCTTAAGGTCATCCAATAGGCAGAGCCAGGACTCAAACTAAAGTCTGATCATTAAGCCCATAATTTTAGATTTTAGAAGCTGACCAAAAATTACAACCCCCAGCCTGCCCCTGGAGGGATCTGAGAGAGTGGGATTCCTGCCCCAGGAGGAGAGCCAGGCAGTCCTCAGCCAAAGCCCAGAGCTCATCAGCTCCTCTCTCAACCCCCCAGTAAGACATCTAGAAGACCCTCTGGGGCCAACTTCCAGTGGTCCCTTCATTCTGGGCCTGCTGGCCATGAGGCTGAATAAACTGGCACAGAAGCCCTCATCAGGGTTTCTATCTTTCAACTTTTACCCAACCTTTGGGTCTAGCTTAGACCTCATCTCTTCAAGAACTGTTCTCCAGTATACCATCCTCCCACAGGGATCTCTCACCTCTGAATTCTCCACCTAGGAGGCCACATCTTTGCTTCCTGTCACTCAGCACAGCACTGGAGCAACAGGTCCTCATGCTTGGTAGAAGCATGGCCTCAGTCCAGCATCCCCCCCATAGCCCACGAGAGAAGTTAGCCCTCTGCTGGGCGCTGCACTGGTCATGGTGCTCTGGGGCTGCCTGGCTCTGGATTCCACGCTCTCTTCTCCCCACTGTGCTCAGCCTCTTCTGGTTTCCCGAGGGAGAGGGGAGAGCCAGACACAGACTCCCCATGAGTCAAAAGGCAGGAAAATGGCAGTCCCTTGTCATTCACAATCCAGTCCCGTTCTAGGCTTCTGAGCCAGCTTCCCTCTAAGGCAGCTAAAAGTGCTACAACTCTCTTGGGAGGGGCAGTGACACAGAGTGGCCAGGTGTCCAGTTTTCACACTTAGGAGTGGGACGTCACAGATAGGGAAAATGAGTCTCTAGGGCAGCATTTGCAACCCACAAAACTTTGTTAAAGGCAAACTGTGAAGCACTTGAGGCAACTTGGTGAATGGCTATGTCTAAGTTAAGGCCATTTACAAAGTCACTCATATTGTTGAACAGTCTGCCTCTGGTCCCTGATTTTAGGCCTCAAATAAAGGTCACTCTAGTCCCCTAGACCCCACAGGTATCTATGTGCCTTCAGAGGCTAGGTGGATGCTCCAGGTGGGCCTAGGTGGGGCCCTGAGGTTCAGGCTAGGGTCTCAGTAGGCTGGGTACCTAACTGCTATCAAACCACTTACTCTGCTGATGGGTAGAGAGACCAGAGGAGGCTGAGCCCCAGGACCCACTGCCTAGATATCTGGGCTCTCCAGGAAGGTGGGAATCCCTACCGACTGTCCTCACTCTGGTGCTAATGCAGCCTGGAAGGAAGAAAAGAGAACTGACTGAGGATCCAGAGACTGCATTCTAGTCCCCCTCAGCTTGGGGGCTCACTCCTCCAGCCCCCATATGTCCACAGCCCCTAGCATCTGTCTTGCTTTCTGTCTACCCCTTCAGACTCCTTCCAGCAGACAGCCTTTCAGCTGGAACCAGGTCAGATGAACTTCTCCAGCCCTGGCAACCAACACAGCAAAGGTTTATTGAGCAAAAAATGACCTAAACCCAGCAAACAACCTTCCTTTCTCAGAGTCTAAACAATGTCCTCTAAACAATGTGCTCCCTGCTCCCTCCTCCCTCCTCAGAGGTTGGGGGGCTGCAGCAGGAACCAACTCCACTCGGGCCATGAGATGCCAACAGCTTGTGTCTCCACATGTGGAAGGCTCAGGACCACCTTCACAATCACCCCTCCCCACACATCAGGGTCCAGCTTGTGATTCAAAACTCTGCTCCCCGAGGCCCACCAGCGGGGCAGCCTGTGGCTGCTCAGTGGCAAGGAGGCAGCATCGGGGCTGTGAAGAGCCTGGAGGTGCTCTTCCTGAAGCTGGGGCCCTGCCGCTCGCTGGCCACACACATGGCCCATCCCTGAGCCTCAATTTCCAACAGGGCATCAAGAAGATTACATGAGATGATGGATGAAGAGGACTTAACACAACGATAAGTGTCCAAACTAGAAATCCATGGACTTGAATGGGGAAAAAACGGTATCTTCATCTTCACCCATCTCTTATGAATATATACTGCTTCCTTTGTTTAGGAACGTACCAGATCGCGGTAGTCCTAGTGGTACCTATTGACGGCGACAACAATAGAAAACAAAGGTGTTTCCATATATCTTGAAAAATCATTTTCTCCACCACTTATGAATTCTGGTAATGACTATGTCTGCTGCTGGATCTTTTGATTTAATGTAATAATTTTAAAAAGCACATGTGTCAATCTATGTCTAATTTGATTCCTTGATCCGTGCATATTTACATTTTAATATCATTGATTTCCTTTGATGTATTACACATTTAAAATCACTGAGAAAGGTTTATAGCCTTTACCAGGATGCCAGGGGGATCCATGGCACAAAAATGGTGGCTCTATTTCATAGGGATGCCGATGGGGCCACAGCGGCCTTTGCAACACCAGGTAAGCCCCTGCCAGTAAATCTGGGTGGGGAAAAGTGGGAGGGAGTGGCTGGGGCTGCTCGGGACAATAATCAGCGGCAGCTCAGCAGACCTGCCTGTCCAACTAGGCTTGGCTCCCACCTACACAAGGGTGTTGGGAAGATGCTGGGCCGGTTTCTGGGCTGTGGCTGGGCTTGATCAATTGTTAACCCACAGCAGCCCCTTCCGCCTGCTGCATAGGGTGGGGTTCTACCAGCCAGCCGCTCAGCTCCCCTCAGCCAAGCTTGGACCCACTAAGACAGTGTGGCGGGTAGGAGGTGGCTTCCAGGTGCAAGCGGGGACTAAGGGAGCTGGCGCAGCAGACTAGGCCGGGGCCTGGAGGCTGGACTCCATGGGGTCTTGTT